CCCTATTTAATACATAAAATAACATTATATATAAATTAGATTTATAATTAATTTTCTTTGGTTTATCTAATTAAATAAAAAAATATAACCTTCCTCTATTTTCTTTTTTTTTTTATTTATTCAAATAAAGTTAATATTAGGTTTTTACTTTTCTTTCTTTCCCCTCTCTTTCCTCTCCCTTCATTTCTTTTCATTTCCCTTATTAATTTTTGTCTAACATATACTTCGATTTCCTAACCTTCATCGGCCGAGTCTCTCTCATTGGCGATCCTCCCGAGTTTCTTAGGGCCTTCTTATCTTCTTATTATCCCTTTTTCTTTCCCGACCTCCTCTCTATTGGATTTCGTGGCTGGTCGTGGCGATGGACAGGAGGTTACTCTTTCATCATTTCAAAAGTGGCTATGGACCACTGATTTTGGGCGAAGGCTTGTAGTTGGCATGGGCTGTTGTGGCGTTTGGGCTATAGGTGGGGTGGTGGATTCAGAAGGCAGACCACCCAGATCATTGGCAGCAAGATTTAAGCAGAAGTTAAAGGTGACCAAAAGATTATAGGTTCCGACTACGATAGGGGTAAGACCAAGGGATTTGAGGATGATGAATTAGAAGTGAGGTCTAGGGGCCTTGGATTACTCGCATTGGATAAGTTTTCTTGTAGGAATTGCTCAAAGGACTCAATTTAACTGCGACTAATTAATTGAGGACAATTCTTGGCCTTACAAAAGGAGGGGAAAGAAATCTTATGATCAGATTTTGAAGTCCCAACCATTTAATCTAATTTGGCCCGGATGCTACTAAAGGGGTGGGGCCCTTCAATAGCTTTACTGCCCCCATGGAATGGAGGCGTTATCACCCAAAAGTATGGGTGCTCGTAAAAATATTTGAAGATTAAACCGGGCTTGCATATACTGTAAGAAAATTTTATCTCATATAAAAAATATAATAAAAAAATTATGATTTAAATATAAAGAGAGATTCTATTTATAATAAATTGATTTTTGGTTGGAAACTAATTTTATATTAACTCACGTTTAATTTTCACACATAGGTATTACATTGTTTTCTTTGTTTTTTTTCCTTTGATAGGAAAAAATTTTATTAAGGTACAAGGATATCTCAACCAATTACATCATTCTAATATTTACAATCTAATATCCAAAGTAAGAAATTGATAATAATTAGAAAATTAATTAGTATGTATTCAATTTTACGTTTTTTTAACATTTATCTTTAAATATTCAAATTTAATATAAATATAACTAATTCAGTTAATTTATACATATACATAATTGTATTTTTATATTTGTTTGTTTTTAATTTAATATTAAAAAATAATAATTTTTAATAAATATATTGTATAATGTGTTAAACTGAACTGTTTATATAATTATTCTTGTCAATATAAAGATATGGAAACGGGACCAAATCACTAAATGAAAAAACTAAGTCCAGTTCTTTTCCTTTCAGTCACTAGAATGATTTGGCTTGAACAGTTTTTACTAGATATAATTTGATTGGCTAAAAAAATTTTCCTTTCCCTCTCCTCAACTCAAATATATGGTTAATATAATACCATTCTTGGCTTTCCAAATAGCCCATAGCATCACACAAATATTAAGGATCCCACGCTGCAACATCGATCGTGCTTGCTGAACAACCCATAGACAAATTGCATGTGCACAAGTCTTGTACAGAACCAGGGTATACAAAGAGCACACCGCGCCACTTGCAACATTTCAACCATAATTTATAGGGGCAAGCACATTTCAAAAACAAATGAGATACAGATTCCTCCTCAAGGCCACATAAAGAGCAAAATAGATTTATATCCTTAGTTAACTAAACTCTTTTCAGTAGATTGTCTTATGTTTGGATTTTATTGAGCAACATTCTCTAAGCCAGGACACTTGCGAAGGAATGTGATCGTCTCAGATTGCCTTGCAAAGCTTCTTGACCAAACAGCTATTTTGATACCGCAAGAGCTGAAATGCTTCCTTTGGAGTATACCCCAGAGAATTATTGAACGGCCAAACTCCTGTCCTCATTGTCATCTCTTCCAACAACCGTTACTCATCCAATTCTCTTCCGTTGGGTAGTCTTCTCCATTGTATGCACCATGACAATGAGTCTTCATTCCGTGAACCTGCCTCTGCCACCGACAGGTTCCTCTGCAAACTTAACTTAAACAGCCCAGGGAATCCATTTTTAAGAGCTTCATTTCCAATCCAATCCAAATATCTTCCCAAAATTTTTCTTTATCTCCCTTTTTGACTTTCCAAACAAAATTCCCAGTGACTACACTCTTAGCTCTTTGTTCATCTCCCCAAGTCTCACGACATCACTCCAAAATCCAGACACTCTTTTAGCTTTAACTCTCTGCACATTCCAGCATTCTATCCCCCATAATTTATTTCCAAAACAAATTTTTTGCACAACAGAACACTCTCCCCTCTTGGAATTCTATCGCCCATAATATTTTAAGAGTTTCTTTGTCCATACTGCGACGATCATGTGTGTTTGTTTGAAGTACTTTCTTTGGTTTTTCAACCAATCTATAATTATTTATCAAAAAAATTATGCAATTGCCGTTATAATTACAATCTTTTTTTCGAAAATTCGAAATTACATTTTTTATAAAATGAAATTACAAATTTACCCCATCCCTCTTCTTCTCTTCTCTTCTCCTTTCTTCCCCCGTCTCTATGTCCTATCAATGGGAAAACCGTATGACAATATGGGTTCCTCCTCTCCAGGGATGTTAAAATTGAGAGTTTACTTAAAATTATTTTAATTAGATAAAATTAGAATTATAAAATTGAGAGTTTATTAAATTTAATATATAATATATAATAAATTATATATAGTTAAAATTAAATAATAATAAATTAGATTTAGAGTTGAAATTGGCAAATTAAAATTTAAATATCTAATAACACACAAATAAAGAAGTCAATTTTAATATCAGTCACTAGAAAAGCTAGAAATAAGATAAAACAACATAAAAATAGTCATTATTTAAACTTATAAAGATAAACTAAAATAAATCCCGCATACTATCATTTAGTCAATGTAATTGAGGTCTCTCAAATTCTCTCTCGTGTGCCTTTAATTAAGAATTTCAAATAAATTTAGGCCATCTAACTCAAATTTAGCAAAGTCCAAAGTGAAATGGTCCAATGGTTACTCAAAGTGGTCCAATTATTAAAAAATAGATCATTTTTTTTGTACATCTGATTATGAGTTATACAAGAGAGAGTCATATAAGAGAGAATAGTTTTTTCCTATTCTAGAAACCCTCTCTACCCGGCTCGAGGGTCGAACTTGAGATCTCTACTTTAGAATCTCCACTTTGAAATCTCAACCTATTAACTATTGACTCACCCTATTAGGGTTAAAAATAGATAAACTTGTGAGTTTATTTAGTTTCAGATAATTTTACAATTTCACTCCAATTTCATCGCAAGTTCACAGAATTAAGTTTTTAAGAACATTTTTACACAAATTCTTGATTTAAAATCATAAAATTTTATGATTTTACTATCATCGAAAACGCAATTTTGACAATACTGCTCCCATCCCCGACTCCTCTATGCCGGTGAGGTCACTTTGCAGTACTATCGAAAATAACTCAGAAGTAATTTGGAATTAATATTAGCTAAAAAAGGTCAACGTTGTTTATATCTCCTGTGTGCATTTATATCTTGCGTAGTTAAAGTAACTGCATAAGACAAAATTAGCACGTGAAAAAAAGTTAAAATTTTTAGGTAAGTTAGGATAGACCTTTATATGATTTTTATATATTATTTATATAAAATTTTAATTATTTATCAATACTAATAATTAGATGGGAATGAGACCCTAATATTAGAGGCTTTTCTCCTCATTTAATAGTCATTGTTTTTGAACTATAAGATAGGATTCTATATGCATGACT